GCATTTTGAATATTGCCAAAACGAATACAATCCCCTTGCTGTTGACCAAGATCATAATATTTATATTGACAACGGAGACATTTGAATTATACATAGTCCCATCACATCTTTTCTATAAAATTAAGAGTCCTTTATGTCTAAAATCAAAAGCAGATTGCACAGTCTGGATAGTTAGGATTTTGTCAGCATTTTTCAATTAAAATTGCTTATTTGTTGCTAAGTTGTGTCTTTTTCATATACATATGAAAATACATTCTCACAGTATGGACTTGGATTCAATTCTACTTCCATTTTTTCTTGTATGTTCTTATAGTAAGCTATCTGCCCTCACAAAAAGAGATATAAAGAATTTTTTACTTTGTGAGGCTGAGAGAATAAAGCAATGTTATATTTAAAAATTGCCTCAAAACTTATATTAAATAGGGAGATATCTTTCAAGAAGAGTGACCAGAATCCCCTTGACAAAGCACAGGCCGAAGGACAGTACTTTCCCTGACAAACATCCTGCTTTTCAGCCAAAATTGGGTATAAAATGTTACTTCAGAATTTCTGGTGGAACATGAAAAAAAATCACTGTATTCTGTTAGTGTCCCAGGCAACAAGAATGCAGGATCATTTTTAATATACCAATTTTCAGGCACTTAAAAAAGGTGTTCTCAGACTTAAACTTCACTGCATGCATTTAAGTATTTTTAAAGAAGTTTTTAAAACTACGTCATTAAAACATGTTTAAATCAACCTTCTCTTTTTTTTTCTCTTCATGGAGCCCTCCTATTTGGGCGTAGAGTTGAGAGTCAGTAGATCTTGATTTTATTTCCATCACTGCCAATCTGTGCTTTCAGAATTCTGTGCTTTTAATTCTCCATACATGAAACATGGATAAAAATAATTTCCTCGAATAAAGCTTCAGGATTTATTGGTGTAAGTATCTCTTCACACAGAACAATGGTATTCATTTTGGTTGCTGGGCTTACAAAAAGGCTGTAAGGTATCTAGATACTCTAGAACAATTTTGAGACCTAAATTATTTGATCTTTCTTTGAGGGAACAGCTTAACAAGCCTTCACCTGCATGGAAGGCAAATAAGCAATCCCAGGCCAAGGCAAAGACAGCACCAGCAACACTCATCTTCTTTATGGAAGATTTTGTTGCGAAAAAGAAAGGGGCAAGTGGAATAGCCTCACCACTGCAGTATATCCAGTGAACCGTCAGTTACAGTTTGCTCATGGAAGGCTTAGACTGAAACTCCTGACGCAAATCTGGCAGAGGAGTGATTTGTGTCCCTCTGTATTCATTAGATTTGGGGCACAGAAGACTGCAGAAAAAAGCACACGCAGAAAGATCAATGCTAGTGATATGTTGTGCTGATACTAGGCACTCCCAGGGACAAAGGGAGTCCCTTTAAGTACAGTGTCCCTGCCCAGAAATTACCTCTGAATGTTCTCGTCACTCTTTATGGACAGAGGAAAAGGGCAGTGGGCTACTTTGGGCACCCAACTTCCACAGAAGTCACAGATGCAAATTTCATTTTCTGTTGTCTAGTTTAGTTTACAACCTGCCCTGTAAAATTATTTCAATTAATTCCCTTCTAGATACCTAATTTTTCCAGGGCATTGAGCATGGCAAGTTCACACAATTTTCTGAATTTCTGTAAGTGAGAGGGTTTCCAGGAGTCAGGCACACTAATACTAAGTGTTATAACCTGTATGTCTCCCTTTTAAACCTAGATAAAGGTCTGCTTGTGAGTGTTAGATATCAAGGTGTTACTGTTTCCTGTGTGAAGTATGCCACTGAAGCCAGGCATTGCTTTCCCCTAATTTTCACACAGTTACATTTCATAATGGGATTGTCAAGACAGAGGCACTTCCTTCTAGTTTTTTGATTGTACCTTTATGTCTCTATGATTGCACAACTTCAATCTTTTCTTTCTTCTTGTCTCCCATTCTTTCACTATCCTTGTGACACAAAATGGCATCTGCTGAGAGTCAGAGTATAATGAGAAGCAGCACAATTAAGAACTTTGAAGACTGACAGTGAAATCCTGCAGAGCACTGAGGGTAGAGGTGTTGCGCTCTGGTGTTGTCAGGAGGGCTGCAAAGGCACTTGTCCACACTGGCTGTTCTGCAAGAGCCACAAGGTCTGATTGCCTTGGCAAAGAGACTGAGGATGCTCTGAGATTATGGAGCACTGTTTTGGAATTTTACTGGTAGCAGTTCCAGACTGGAATGCCAGAGCTGTTTATGTATGTGATTAGCACAGTAACAGAGAGGGGAAAAAATAAAAACCCAGGGAGCCAGTTGCAGTGATGGCAGTTTAGCTTGTTCTCATTTGTGGCAGGGTGTTTTTGCTAGTGATTATTTGTTAAAAAACAGTATTTAACTGCAATCCCATCTACCCTGGAGTTAAATTTTCAGCACTGCTTACTAGTGACCTAGCATTGCTTTAAAAACTATTCAGATTTACTGGCAGTTATTAATGTTCTACTAGTACATGCTTTAAACCATTCTGAGAGTTAAGATGTTACTGCATGAAAACCTTGTAGATACACATCCAACTCCAGTATTCCCAACAATGGTAGACACAGGAAAACTATCCCAGTGCAGACTAGGCAATATTTTATTCCTGGCCTTACAAACTCACTTTAATACTGTGTTCAGTTTTGGGCCCTTCACTACAAGAGATATACGAGGGTGCTGAAGCGGGTCCAAAGAAGAGCAACAAAGCTGGTAAAGCATCAAGAGCAAAAGTCTTATGAGGAACAGCTGAGGGATCCGGAGTTGTTTAGCCTGAAGAAAAAGAGGCTGAGGGGAGACCTTATTGCTCTCTACAACTACCGTAAAGGAGGCTGTAGTGAGGTGGGTGTCTGTCTCTTCTCCCAGATAACAATAGGGCAAGAGGAAATGGCCTCAAGTTGTGCCAGGGGAGGTTTAGGTTGTATATTAGGAAAAATTTCTTCACTGAAAGGGTGATCAAGCATTGGAACAGGCTGCCCAGGGAAGTGATTTTAAATACCCCGAAGGTATTTAAAAGACGTGTATATGTGGCACAGACATGGTTTAGTGGTGGACTTGGCAGTGTTGGGTTAATGGTTGGACTTAATGATCTTAAAGGTCTTTTCCAAGCTAAACAATTCTGATTCTATTATAATATTGTAACCAAGGCATTTACATATGTAAAGTGTAGTTTCAGAAAATGTGTATGCTTTTTATTGTCTTTCACACTGAAAACAAGGACTAGATCTAAAAGCTATTCAGATGTCTAGAGTTACAAGGAAGTATCTAACGTCACCTTCCAAAACACCCAGGATAAATCAGTTTTCTTAGTCAATAATATTGCTAAACAATCAATCATTTTTAGGATTTTTTTAAAAACTTAATAGACCAGCACTTTGTACCAGAGCATCAAAAGGGAAAGTGCAATTGAAAGATTCCTAATTTTACCCCAAGCCACTGTATTTTTACCTTGGGATGTTTGATGAAGGTTGAAGAATGAGTACAATCTGTTGAAGCTGCATTCACACTTCCATCTTAGAAACCTGACTCTTCTCTTACCACTTGGGTATATTTGCAGTTCAGACAGAGGAGTCTGGAACAGGGTGTAAAAAATAAAAGTCCTAGACATAAAGAACGAATTAGAAAGTAACAAGGACTAGTGGCTTTTCAGAGGATGGATGTTTGGACTTCCTGAAAATCTGAAAAATTGAAGTGCATTGAATAGGAAACTAAAACTGTATTGTTATAGTGATAATCTAGCTTGAATTTCCTGGAGCGTATGTTCTTTGCTTAGATTTAAAAACCGGGTAAATCAAGGATTAAGGTTATCCTTCTAGATATACTAATTTCTTCTGGACTATGGGGACTAGTATAACCAGGGTGGGTTTTATATATATCTTACACAGCTAAACTGGATCAATACTAAATATAATAGCTATATAAAATACATATGTATTATATACGTATATAATTCCACATTAATCTATGATTTTTTTTTATTTTTTTTTTTTTGTAACCAGGGAAAATAATCATGAGGTAGACTAACTGGAAGGCAAATAAACACCAGCTGCTTTCTGAACTGCGTGATAAAATGGTGATGGTCTTGGACACCAGAAGCACAACAAGCAATAAACTTATGTCACTATTAAAAGATAGCAAGGAAACAAAGAAATAAGTAGAAGGCATCCTCTCCATTTTGCAAAAGTATTTGAAGCATCTGAACTATGTCCTTCTTGATCAGAAAATCTTAAACATTTATGTGAAATGCTTTGTTTCAAAGTAGTATTTTTTAAATCCAGAAGTTCAGATCTTACAATTCTCCTTTCCCTTCTGCAGTTATGTAAGTTTCCTGAATCACTAGAACTTCCTAAAAATGTTTAGCTTTAACAAAACAGTATATTTGAGTAATATTTTTAGGTGAAAAACTTTGTATCACCTTGAATGAACTAAAATAACAAAACTGTCTATGTATGTATGTGTGTGTGCCTAGAATTTTTTTTTTATTGCATGAGTATACACCTTTGAATGAAAAGCTATTTGCACTCATCAGTGAGTGGACACACAAAACAGGGAGCTTCCTTGTATCAATAACCTTTAACTTACAGCAAATCTTCTGTTCCCTCAAGGCAAACAATCAGGTAGCTCCAACACCTGCAAGTACTGGAAACATTTGTCTGAGAAGGAATCAAACTAGTGGGAGCCTGGGGAAATACAAATACAGTAAATGGATTGAAAATACTTCAGCTGGTGCTTAGATTGCACAGTCACGAAGTACTACTCTTTGCTAACACAGAATCCCAAAGACTTGCCAAAAGTTACCATACCGTGATGTTGGAGCAATTATCAAGTGTATTTAGAAGAGGAGAAAGCTGTATTATGGATTAAAACAGTGTTCATACACCAAACTGTATGAAGGTAGAAAAGCTCTGTAAGATGACAATGACTCTAAAAAGACTCTAAAAGTCTGCTGATACTTACATATCTATCACTTTTTAAAACACAGATATTTCTGTAGAAGTGAAGTGGGCTTTACCCACGTGATTTTTATACCCGTGCACATCTTTGTAATAAGAAATCACAAAATCAGCCTGACAGGCATAAAAGCCAAATTCTCAAAGCTACTAGTGTACTAGTACTTGGACTAGAAGTCCAAGTAGTTGTCTAAAAGCTCTTTTAAATTCCTGTAGTTTGAGTAATTCCTCTGTGTTTGACACATCCAGAGTTCATACTGGATTCTAATTGTGCTCTGCTACAATGACTGCTACTTGTTCGAGTTCCCTACCACTTTTACAGACATACTTTGAAGTATTTTTCTCCCCTGTAGAGTTTTGTGAACTTGAACAAATATCTTTGTTAGTCATGGGCCTAAATAACACCAACACACATCGGTATATATACCATGCCTACACATACCATTGCAAGCAAATACTGTGAAAAATTAGAACATGGGCTTCAGAAAACTTTAATCGAGATTTATTAAACCATTCCTACATGACAATGACAGCAAAATCATCATGTCTGACAGCTCTAGAAAAAACTCTGAAGTCAATATCAACTATGTAGTTTTTGAGAATCTTGCAGCTCATGAAGCTGCTTTTCAAGCACCTTTTCCATCCCTTCATCAGTCAATGCTCCCTGCACCATTTTTCTCATGTAGGCAAGAAAGAATAAACAGAATTGAACAGTTGTGAAACATAATTATGCTATTTTCATTCTGCTAATTAACAATAAAGTAACAAATTATGAATGTGATTATATGAACATAGGAGGAAAATAGTGGACTTTATCTAGAAGGTCTGTTCCAGGCCCAGATCCTATTTTCTGAGCAGGACAATACTGTAATGGTGGCTGTTGCCATGTACACAGATTTGGGACAACTGAGAATTAAACCAGTAAGTAACTGCCTTTGATACACTGCTGCAGTGTCCAAATACCAGTCAAACCTTTTACTAGCTTTAGCTACTTGCTAGTACCTTTAGCTAAGGTACAGTACCAAGTATATGCTAATAATTAGAGAATAAGAATACTAGTAGTAAATAGTGTATAAGTAATTAATTCATACAGCTTAGGTCAGTAGAGCTTTGATAGACTAAACAGAAGTTACAGGATACCAAAAGATCAAATCGGTGAGACAGAGGAGTCAGGGTTTTTCCCAAGACAGAATGCATGAAGAAACACTTTCAGTGCCAGGCAGCCAATAACTATAATGTGTCCCATATTTAGATTAAGATACATGATCAGTATTATATAAATTAAGGCTTTTTGTTTGATTAAGATAATAATTTTAAGAGTTCTGGCATTGTGATTACATTCCTTTACCCTTGAATCAATGTACATGTAAGTCTTACATGTATAAATTCAAACTCTTCTTCAGACTAGTTTTATTCTGTATTTGCATCTAATCATTTGCATGTATTTAGTATTACAGTATGAAATCACTACAGGGCATCTATTTGCCATGTTATATCTTCATGTCATTAACTGAACAATTGAACTACTGTACTTGTTACTGGGAATGCCTATGCTCTCTGAATACGTTGCCTGAACCCTCATAGTCCACAGATGGTATTAGGGGCCAGCAACAGATACAGACCTTCCAATAACCAAGGGAATTAATTTAGACCTGCTTTTGTGCATCTCTGCATGGCACAGTCTTGCACCACATAAACAGAACCTCATTGTCAACATATTAAGACAGAACACTGAAAGTTTGCATCTGAAAATTACTCTGGCAGCCATAACAATTAAAAAAGTATTTGAAACCGAAAAGTTTATGGCTTTTGTCTATATCTGGAGTTTATGGACAGTGGCAGCCCAGTGACAAAGTAGTCTCTGAATTAATAGGCACATTTCCATCAGACATCAGTAAGAACAGTATTGACTTCTACATGTAGCGAACTCTGCAACCATTATCTTTTTAGAAACTATTACTTAAAGGCTAAGGTGGTCAATTTTGTTAGGAAGCACTATTAGAAGTTTTAAACATGCATAATGTTTTTCAGAAAAATACAAACAATGTTAATAACTTGATTTCAAGTACTGAATACAGAAGTTTTACTTATGTGACTAACAGCAACACTTTTATAAATAACTTCTCTATTAAAGCATCCTTCCATGAAGCCTCAGGCATTCCAAACTTGCACATAAATTCCAGTTATCATGTTCTGGAAAGCATATGTGATCGTAGCAATGGAGATATATATATGTGTGCATGTATATATATGTTAGGATAGATACAAACCGTTGTGGAAGTGCACATACAACATTTTGAAACATTGGGATGTAAATTTGTAAGACTAGAGTAACAGGATCGTTTAACATATATCATGGTTTGGGTTGGAAGGGACCTTAAATATGATCTAGTTCCAACTCCCTGCCATGGGCAGGGACATAATGTTGTTTACATACTCATAAAGCACTGCAGCAGACAAGAATTTCTTTTCTGGCTGTCAATCAGACTTGGAAGCTTAACTGCAAGAATACTCCAGCACACAGAATGGCCAGAGAATGCTGAAATAAATGAAACAGATTGTGCTGATAGGAAGGTAAGACAGAGCATTTATACATCTGTTGGAACTCTTCTCCACCAGGCCTATCACATCTGTGATACTGGTGGTCTTTGTTCTCCAGGGTAGTATTTAGCTGTCAAGTCAGACTGAAGCTGGATTTGAATGAGCTAGGCCATCCATATGATGCAGTCTGCTGAGACAAGTTTGCCATAGGCTGCATGCAGGCTGTTTTGCTTTCTTCCCTGATATTTACTATTCTGTAACATTGTGTCATTTATATTACACATAATACTAGAAAGACTAAAGAATTCAAATCTCTTGTTTCCCAGGCAGTAGTCTAACCATTCAAGGTAATCATTAGCTTCAAATCAAAAATAGTCTGAACTGTTTAAATACAGGGTCAAGCTTGTATTATTTACTGGAAGAATAAAAAATCTCCCAAAATTCTGCTCCTGAACTTGTTAACGTCACTGGGATGTTGCCAGTGCCATCAGCAAGATTAATAGTATGAGTCAGAGAAGCAAGTCAAATGCCTGAATGCTTTAGACAGCACAGAGTATTTGAAACATCTGCACAGGGCTTGCAGCTACTGGACCTACAGAAGACCTGCCCTTGTGGAGCAGTAGCTGGAATGCAGGTGGGATATCCTGCTGATCTTTCCTCGGGGTTCTGATAAACACTGATAAAATATTTCCGGTAACAAGAAGAAAAAAGGAAATACGCATTGATCTACTATATTTTGCATTTAGTTCACTTCTTCCCAAGTGAAATTTACTTTCAACCTGAAAAGCAAGTTAATTTTACTAGCTTTTATGTAGCATTAGTATAACACTGGCAATTTTAAGTTTGTCCCACGTAATTCTTTTATTTTTTGATGGGTTCTGTAAGTATGTGTATGCAGAACTGTACAAACTTGTGATATGGAAAATAATTCTGCTTTCTTGGGGGGTTGGACCAGATGACCTCCAGAGATCCCTTCCAACATGAAACAGTTGATTCTATAAAATGAAGATGCAGTTTTTAAAAATACCTTTTGTGAAAAAGCCATACAGTACAGAACCTTTGAAAGTATTTTAACTGCATAAGATAGTAAACGAACGAACTGTGCAAGTACCATACTGTAATGGTGTATATCGTATCCATTTCTTAGAAAAAATGGTGACTGCAATCTTACTATTTTATTTTTCCTGCTCAATCTTTTTCTTTTTACACTAAATATACTGCAAAAATGCAAGCCTTGCCAGGGAGATGCATTGAAACACACTCAGCATTAAATAAGGGCCAAGAAGACTGCAAAGTTTAAGTTATCTATGTGAAAATAGATTTTACTTAAAATATTTGGGACACTGCATGAAGCAAAAATCTTACTAGTAGATTCAGAAATATTATTATTATTATTGTTGTTGAAATTATAGTCATTATTCTGAATATCCCAAAGGATAAGTGATCATTCATTTATGCACAGCAACCCAGGAACAGGATTAAACAGGTGATAGGTTATGTATTCAGGAAAAGGACAACACCAAACCAGTGCAAAATATGGTGTCAGTTCAGTCTGAATACAAAAATACTAATTTTCTGTCCAAGTTCCTTTAAACTTGGTGTGGATTTTAAATGCCAATTGCAAATGCAAGAAAGAAAAAGAGATGAATTTTACTGAAGTTTAAACAGTCTCTATTTAGGCATCCAGACCAAGTCCATAGCTACCAGTTAACTCATGAAGGCAAGCACCGCAAAAGCCCAAAACAAACCTCAACCCATGTAAGTCACACCTTTGTGTTGGAAAGAATCAAAATATCTTCTAAAGGTCTCCCCTCTCACCATACTTTAGATTACTAAATTTGCTTGTTCTATCATGTTATTTGGAATAGCTGATAATTTTATAATGGAAGTTGACTTTATCTCACCTTTCACAATTCTGAAGTGGCAGCTTTACCGTTCTCATTGAAAACTCAGAACTTTAACACAAAATGCAACAAACACTGATCTGTGTACCAGTTTTTCCTTCGCCAGTACATTTCCTTTATGTTTTTTAATACCCTAGAGATATTTTTAGAAGCTAAAAATAAGTGATTAAACACATCTCTGTTGTCAGTTTTATACTTTTAAAATGTCTGTCTTATTTGAGGTTTCTGTTTTTTTAAAGCTACCTAGCTGAAATGGAAGCCACCCACACATTTTTTTTTTCTCTGAAAATTAGGTATTTGCAATATAATACTTGTGCTGTAGCCCCATTCCTCCATCATACACACCACATCTAGTTTCAGTGGTCTGAACAAGCAAAGGCATGCACGTAATTAATTCCATGAGGGGCAGCTTATTCATATATTTGCAGACACAACTCTTGTTCTTTGTATATCAGTTGCACATAATTTACAGTGACTATTTCTGCTAACTCAAGTGCTCTCTGTAAATTAAATTCTAAATAAAGCTCCAAGTTTTCAGACATATTTTTGTTGTAGCTTGATCAAACATTTTCTATTGTTCTACATGCCCATAAGTGCACACACGCATACACAAACAATGGAAATGCCTTTTTCTGGTTTTCAGCTTGTGCTATGCAGTAAAACGGTTATAAAAATAACAACATGGCAACAGTTGCTTGCACATGTGGATGTCATAAAACATTCTGTGTTACTTTACAATCAAACGCGCTGTTGCAGCGACAGGCCTGTTCCAGAAGTGGGCACGGAAGGCATTTTCTCTGGCACCAAGGTGATTTGCAAGTTGCAAATAAGGGATACATACGGTGTGGATTAGCTGTAAATTAAAATCACAAGTGTTTTCTTTGTAAGTGACATTCGTATATATGCACATAGAATATATATATATACATACACACAGGATTTGTGCTTTGAAAACAAACAAAAACCAAACACAAACCCCAGACGCAATCAGGGATGTAGCTCTGTAGAGGGGGAAAAAAGGCACACACGTTTTCTCAGGACCGTGATCGAGCACACCCCCAGCAGACTTCCCCCCGCCCTCAGCCGTGCCCGCGCCCGGCTCTCCCGCAGGGCCGCACCCCTAGCCTGCCATCCACCCCCTTCCGCCAGCACGAAGTTCTGTGGTGATTTAAGGCGCAGGCTCGGGCTGCCGGTTCCGTGTTAAAGCGGTGCCGCTGTTTCTAAGTTAGCGCTGGCTCGACACCGTCCCCATCACGCCAGGCCAGACAGCCCTCGGCCACCCCTAACAAGAAACGGGATCCTAAAATGGTGGCGACTGCCAGCGGAGGCGGGCAGGTAAGCACAGCTACCAGAGCCGCAGCCGGGACGGGGCGGGGCGAGGCCGCTGCTGAGTGCAGTCCCTGGCCCCCCGCCTCTCCGCCCGCCCTCGCAGAGCCCCAGGCCCGGCCCCACAGGTGGGCGGTGCCAGCTTCGCCCCCTCGCTGTGCGGAGGGCGCCGGGTAAGCGGGAGCTAGCTGCTGGGCGAGGAGAAGGGCGTGTAGGGGTGCTGCCGGGGGAGGGAGGAGCTCGACTCTCCCGCTCGCCGTGGCAGCGGGGCCGCCCCGGGGCTCCTCCGGCAGAGGCAGCCGGCTCTGCCTGGGGAGGACTTGGCCGGGGGAAGCCGCGCACCTGCAGGAGCGGCTGCGAATACTGTCGGCGCCTGGGGCCGCGGGGTGCTGTGGTGGAGGGCTGGGGCTGACTGGGAAGGGGGCTGCCAGGGTGGGGAGAGGGTGGGATCTTGAATAACGGAGTCTGAGAAATAGAACTGTGGGGTGCAGTCTCCGTGGCTGTCTAACGCAGTACCAGGGATTTCTGTTCTCTTCAGAGAAGAGGTGTGCGTTCCCCATTGGTGAGGCTGGCCGCCCTGTGCCTTCCGCAGTCCGAGAGACGAACTTCAACACACATGGGGCTGTTGCACAGATACTGTTATCCAGATAGGACTTACTGTTCCGTCTGCAGTTTTTCGCCTGGGTAGAAATTAAAATACAGCCATTTCTCCCATGTACCTGACAACTGCAGTCAGGCTGCTGGTCATACCGAGCAAATGGCCACTGTCCCAACATCAACTCTGTGGAATAAGAAACTGAATCCCAACTACTTCTTCCCTCTGTTCATGAAGTAGCACAGGTTCAGCACATTTCCAAGCTCACCCACAGTTATTTTAGGTATATTCAGTGTGCCCAGAACATGCTGATGTCATGGTGCAGGCCATACAGGACCCTCTAGACATGGCCATCATGCTTCCAAGCCGTTTTGTGTTTGTAAAGTATCAATTTTGTGTTTTAAATCGTAAGTTCAGATTGGATATAATGAAGAAGTTCTTTACTGTGAGGGTGGTGAGGCACTGAAATGGGTTGCCCAAGGAAGCTGTGAATGCTCCATCCCTGGCAGTGTTCAAGGCCAGGTTGGAGAGAGCCTTGGATGACATGGTTTGGTGTGAGGTGACCCTGCCCATGGCAGGGAGGTTGGAACTAGATGATCTTAAGGTGCTTTCCAGCCCAAACTATTCTATGATTCTGTGAATAGTGATCTCAATTATGTTGGGCATAAAAACTTGTGTAATAAAGCCGTTGTTTTCTGATAGATGTTTTACTTTCTGTCAACCACTAGTAACAGAGTTCCATAATCCTTATGTGACTAGGTTTCATTCCTTTTACAAAATACAGCACACCAGTAACATACTCTGAAAATCAAAGTTGTGTCTACATTTTTCACTATAAAATGCACAAACGAGTTTTCTGGATGCATAATTTTGAAAAGTCATGTGCATGAAGTGAACTTGCATAAAATGAAGTTGCAGCTGTATGCAGCTGTAAGCAGTTTTCTCCCTGATCACCTGTGCTGGGTTGGCTGACCTGAGTGAGAAAACCGTTCTCCAGTCAATATACATTATTTTTTCACTTCATGTCTGTGAACTACGATTCTCCACAGGAGAGGAAAGTTAGTGTAACATAATTGTTGGAGTATTTTGATCAATTTAAAATAGAGACCATGGATTTAATATCTCTTTATTTCTCTGTGTTACAGTTTTCAAGGTGCTGTGATGCATATATTAATTTTGGTGTGCATATTAATTTAGACACTGAATGTGTATATGTTGTAATGAGTCTACAATTATGCAGTGTATTATGCTGACAAATGTACTGTGTACTGTTAGGCAGTAGAAAAACATCTGAAGAGCTGTGGCTTTAAGAGGACTGTGGATGTCTTAGTATTGTAGCTGGATGGACAGAAAGTAAAACATGTTTTTAAGTTTGGCTTTTACTAGAAGAAAAGCACACAGTAAATGGTAACTTTTCATAGTGCTTTTTGTATCAGAGAATCTCTGAACATCATCTGTATGTGAAATATCATGTTGTGAAGGAAGAAGTGGTGAAGATATGCTGCTGACATATGCAGCAGAGCTATACTCACAGTGAAATAGTTAACTGCCTCAGCCCTAGATAGACAATCCCAGAATTGCTTGAGGGTCTGTAAGTTCACAGGGTTGTGCATGAGCTTCTACCACAGGGAGCAGAGGAGTGAGGCTTAATGGGCTGATCTATGCCTGTTTGAACTGGCTCATAAGGCTGGGTGGAAAGAGTATCAAGAAGGCAAATGAAAAAACACAGGACCTGCCCAGTCTAAGAACTGCCAAATTTCTGACCTCCCTAAAGAAAGTTGTTACTGCAACAGTAAAACTCATTGGTAGCACCTTTGAAATTGCCACATTCTTACTACTAAGAATTGAAGGAAGGGCAGGGCAACATAAAGTGAGTATGCGAACACTTGTTTGGGGCTGGCAGTCCTGATCAGAGAACTGATCTCCTCTGGGAGCTTTAAGAAACAGCTTAAGATTTAGAGCAGATGAGGAGAAGAAACCATGGTAACTGAAAGAAGGCAAAGCTTTCATGAACCTGTGGGTGATCTAGGTTGATAGAGGTGTATGTTGTAGGATGAGCATGAGGAGAGGCTACCACGGAAAGATGGATACATGACAGGGCAGACTTCAAAGTTTTTGGAAAACATACTTTGAATTTCTGGCCAGGGCATAATTGCATATGGTGTTACATACCTGTCTGAAGCCTCACAACTGCATTTGCTGTTTGTACATTTGATATCATATATAAAGAACTAATGTAGTTTAGTAATTCAGGGACAAGGCTTTCAAGATTTCTAGGTCCTATGAATAATAAAATAAGGTGGCAAAGGATTTTGGTGTCGTCTAGTTTGGGTTTAGTGGAAATCAGGTGGTCTTGAAAAATCTAAATGTGTCCACTAGTAACTGTAAATTCCTTAGCACATCTTCTGATTTACACAAAGTATTTGATGCTTTCCAAAAAGAAAATGTAAATTGGATAGCTACTGTCAAAATTAGTAAAATATGTATTTTAAAAAGAAGAAAATATACATAAAATCTAAGGGGGAAGTTTAATTAATAAGTAAATTCTAAACAATGCAAGCATATGCAAGACTGAATTAAGCCTATCCCATTTTCTGATTTTAAACACCTTTATGTGTGCCCTCCCTGGCTTTGAATTATTTTTTTGGTATGGCATAAAAAGAAATGTTCAGATGGCAGATACAGAAGTGATCTGTCTTCCCATGAAACTATTTTGAGAAAGATGGTGCAAGCTGGCTTCTTTGATGATTGGAGAGAAGTGAATTACTTTTATTCTATACCAGTTTATTTAAACCTTGAACCTCAGCCAATCTCTGTATCAGATCATGCCTCTTTAACTGTTGGTTTGACATAATTTTCTGCTGGCTGAAACAAGAAAATGAAAAAAAAATGAAAAAAAAAATTATAATTAAAGTCAATCAAACAGGAGGGAATGGGCTTCTATTTTAAAACTACTACTGTTAAAGGGACATGAAAAAATGTACTTTTGGACACAGAAAGCTGTCATCCTAGGAAAATTGATTAACTTAGCAGTAGGTAGGAAAAGAGTGCTGCAGGCCAAAACAGATAAGTTTGTAAGAAAGACATGCAAAGTCTGGAAGGCACCTAGAAAGGTACAGGCTCTTTTTAAATGTTAGAGGAATTAAGCTCTACCTGGGGCAAATTAAATGCCTTAATACCAGAAAAAAAACAACAGATCAAGGCTTGGAGATCGTCAAGGTGAGACTGTTACTAGAGAGGGAGTAACACCAATTAAAACATAAACCTGTAGACTAGGTATGGAACAGCAGTGACAAAGAATATGAGGAAATTTTGGTTTTGCTACCTGAAAAACAGTATTCAGAGGTACACAGGAGAATTAGTAGCTCTGTAAGAGCTCTGTATGTCCTGTCAACATTCATCTCCCTGTCTTTGCTACTTGCAGTACTGTATTTTTTGGTTACATGTGCGTATTTGCAGGGTTTGTTTTTATGAGTTATTTGAGGAAGCCAAATAACCAGTTTAACAAAGTAGCAGCATGGGATAATCTGATTTTCATAAATACAGGAAAATAAAAATACAGCATCTCAAATTTGTAGGGTTTAGTCTTGACAGATTTTTATTTTTCAAATGCAGGATAATTGTGGCCATTCCCCCTTTGTACCTGGAGGGTTTGTTGAAAACAAAAAACACATGGGCAACCAGAGGCTAGGCTTCACAGTGAGAAAAGAAGCAGATCCTTTTAGGCTGATCATATGAGGCTAATTTTTATCAATCCTGCTAATTCTTTCTGAAACACTCGCTCTAGTCTTGTGATGTATTAAAGTCCACAAGGAAAGTTTTATTATGTCAATTGAAATTTGTCAAATAAAGATCATTATAATTATTCTAGTGAAAATCAAGAATTT